ATATATATATATATATATATATATATATATATATATTTTGCTAGCTCTGTCGCTCACTAGGTAAGTCTGTCTGAACTCCATCTAGTTTCCTATTTTAGACATTGCTATGACTAGTGGTTCCATTCTGTGTTGGCTGCTGCAGCATAACCACAATCTTCTGAGTCTGAGGGTTCATGGCAGAGCCAAATTGCTGGTGTGATCTACTCCTTTTTTTGGCTACCCTGTTGCGTCTCCAAGTGCCAAGCTAGCTGTGTGATTGCAGTATGCACTCAGGCTGGTCTGTTACCCCAGAATCCTCTTCAGACTCTCCCAAAGCAAATGTGCATGACACCTAATAGATGGCTAACTCAGTGGGTGCAGTGAGGGGGAGCTATCCAGATGGGTTGTTAATAAAAGGCTGCATGAAAGACTAGAACAGTTACCAGTCACCAGGAGACATTTCCCCCATTGTTAGGACTTATACACTGCAGTGCACGTGATCCCGTCAGTGTAATTCCCTTGATCATTATCAGCTAAAATGGCAGCTGATGGATGAAGCAGCGGGAGCGGAAGTGCTGGGAAAGCAGCAGGCTCAGCTCTGGCCAGGTGGTGGTGTGCAGAAACCGTGCATATAGCGTGGACACCTCAGCAATGGTTTGCTCCCTGTATCCCGAGGGTGGGGGCTTACAGATGTTCTTGGAGAGGACTGGGAGCACTTTGATCCCGCTTCTCTTCAGCCTGCCAGATAAAAGACCATATCTTAATTCAGATGGAAATTCTGAAAGAAATCCAGGGAGGCCTCCCTTCCACCAGAGTGCTCCAGGAAAGCTCCCACCTGGGACAAAAGGGAAGCTGCATTTCCAGAGTCATCGAGCCCTTATTCTCTCTGCTGAAAGGTCTGACCACTGTAAATTGTAATACCAGCACCTACTTGCTAGGACCTGCACCAAAAGCACCTAGTAGCGTCCTCTAGGTCCTGTTGAGCAGAGTGTCAAGGATGTTTAAATCACTGCTAGCTCAGAGTAGATTTTAATGGGTGTCTTGAAGGTGAAAGGCTTTAGTATAATCCTTTGGCAAACCCCTGAGCCAGCCAGTCTAGCAGATCTGACCTTCTTAATATGCTGCAGCTAAACCTGAATGTCTCTCTGAATATAGTGTGCAGCAATTGTAATCCTGACCCGAGCTATGAGGTTTACATATAGCACATCTCTAATCATGCTAAGTGTTCCCACTGCATCTACTTTAAATGCTCTGCTATGAAATTCAATTGCAACCACCTAATTCTGCATGTCTTCTCGGCCTCCAAAGCTAGTGCAATCACATTCACCTCTAGCTGCTTAGCAGTGAGAGTTACCATTATCTCTTGCTAGCTCCCAATATTAAAGCTGCCACACACTTCTGGGAGAGAGAGGGAAGGGGAGGAGATCTATTGCAGTGAATTTGGCATACATTGAAAAGGGGCAAGGCAACATTGTCATAGCACATTGACTTTCATTTTTGACTGATTGTCATTCCAGTGCCTCCCTGTCCCTTGTACCTTCCAGCCATGGGGCTGCCAAGGGACAATCAGAGATGGGACTTAGGACAGACCTGTTTCACCTGTTCAAATATTACCGTATACACAGACACCCTCATTTGTCCAGTATTGTTGGGACTCTGCAAAGAACAATGGATTGGATTGGATTGGATTGGATTGGATTGGATTGGATTGGATTGGATTGGATTGGATTCAGCTCGGTAGGGAACGTGTATCCCCAGTGCTTGGAGAAGTAGGTGTATCATGGTGGGGATTCACTGGGGTGGAAATGGGGAGAGAGTCACCATCAAATTCCAGGAGATCTTTGGAGAGGACCTGGCTAGCTGACACTGCATGAGAAAAGCACTTGATCAGGTACCTTGCACTGACCTGAATTTCCCCAATGTGGGTTATGCTCACTCAGTTTTGAGACTGAACTGAGCCTTATCTGTGAAATTCCAACTTTACTAAAGTTGGAGGGAAAGATCCCAAGTACTGCACAAGGACCAAGATTTCATCTTACATGTTTTAAAACCATTCCTGGTATGAATAATCCTCTATTAAAATTGAAAAATTTGTCAAAATTGACCCACGTTTTCAAAAGTAACTAGGTGTGCTGGTTGCTTTTAGGAGGTCAAACTGAGACACTTTTAAAGGGGCCTGATCTTCAGAAAGTGCTGAGCATCCATCCTCTGAAAATCAACCCCTTTACTGCATGTCAATATAAAAACACTTTTAAAAATGAGGCATCCAGAATCACTAGTCAGTGAAAAATCTTGGCTTCTTAACTTTGTTCTTACCTTGTATGATGTTTGTTTATAATTTGTACTTCACAGGGCTTGGACAGTGTAGCTAAATTGCTCAGTTTCTGATTCATTTCACATCTCGTTCGCTTGCACAAGCACAATGATCCTGAGGTTGGGTTCACTGCACTGCAAGTCAAGAGTTAAATTCCAAACCCAAAAGCTGTACTCACTGAAATTACAAAATAAAGAACAAAATGACCCTTTATGTTTTGTAACAGCCTCTCCTTTAAAAAAACCCCTTCAAAGCCAGGCCTAATTTGGAGAGAATATTTGACACGGTTTGTTTATCTGACAATTTTCTAAACATCTCAACATCCTAACAATATGTGGCACCTGTATCAATGTTTTCAGCTGAACAAATTGCTTCTCAAAGTAGGACATGGTTCACTGTCCCCATTTTACAGAGGAATAAGGTGCCAGATTCTTATCTGAGCTATTGTCTACATTACGGAAAGTTTCCCAGGGTAAGCACTGATTGATCTCCCTGAATTGGTGAAAGTGACCCCTGCAATGAACTGATTGCCAATTGGGCAACAATGAATGGAAATTACCCTTGTATTTTGTAGGGTAGGACTCAGTTGGTACAAGCCTAATGGATTGATTGTCCATGTGGATATAACTAGCTACAGGTAGAATGTAATCTGTGCAAATAGTCCTTTCAGTGCTATCTTACAATGCATCAACTTTCATAAATGATCTGGCTGACAACTGCTCACCTCTGCCTGGATTGATGAGATGAGATCAGAATCTGGCCCAAAAGGACTTGCCTACAGTCAGAGAGTGAGTCAGTGGCAGAATCGGAAGGCATTTCCAGAACCACCTGTTAAAAACCAAAAGGCGGGTAAATAATGATGAGGAAGGTAATTGAGTTAAATAAATACACAGAGGTGGAGAACCTCTATCTAGCCCATAGATCCATGCACTTCATCAGTGCTAGCTGCTGGTGGGCTGCAGGATGGTTTGTTTACTGAGCGTCCATAGGTACAGAGCCCCACAGCTCCCAGTTGGTGAGGTTCAACATTTCCAGACAATGGGAGCTATGGGAAGCGGTAGTCTGGCCTGCAGGTTCCCCACCCCGATACAATTACTAGCATTCTCTCCTTTCCCCCATTCGCAGCCCCATAGCCCATCTGCTCTTCTTTATTATTCTTACTTTCTACACAAATGTAGTACTTACGAGTGGGAAGCATTGCCTACTATTGAGAACCCAGGAGAGGTATCTAGTTTTCCAAGGTTTCTGGAGCTTGTTTTGTTTTGCAGTTATGAAGAGTAACCCCCTGCATATTGTCTCTGGCCTTTATTGCTGCTGACAACATCTGGCAGAAGGGTTACCAGTGGCAGGAATTTACAACTCAATTTACTTAGGAGCTCTATGCTAGTAGGTGGGGTTATTCGAGCAGAATAAAAGCTTGTGTCACCAAGGGAAAGGGTGACATCATGCCATCGATTTTTAACCAGAGCACCCCACTGATTCCAGTGAAGAATATGACCCAGGGTATGTCCATAACTACCAGCCCTGGTTGTCAGATGCATTAGCTCTGATTGAGCTACTGCACAAAAAACAGCAGTGTGTCCAGCCAGGTGGCATGGGCAGTAACTCAAACTACCCACTTGAGTGCACTCCCTGGAGGTTGGGCACTTATCTTGTGCTGCCACCATGGCTGTGCTGCTATCTTTAGCATGCTAGTTTAGTGAGAGCTAGCATGAATCTGTTTGCCTGGGCTGGAAGGCATGCTCCCAGCTGCAATGTAGACATATCCACAGTACATACCTGTGTGGGTACGAGTGCAGCAACGTGGACTGGCAAGGACATTTTGCCGGACATAAGCAGTTTTCAGGAAACTTCAGAAGCCTAAGCTATTGGACCGAGGCTCTTTAAGACCATCTTCCACAGATTCAAAGCTCTGGTCTCCATCCTTAAACTGCTGAGTCTTGAAGAGGGTGTGGTTTTGTCTGTATTTAACAGCTGAGATAGCAGGTTAGGGCCATGTCTCCCTGGGGAAAATGTTAATATTAGCTGCTAAAAACAAACTTGACACAATAGGTTTATGGAAAATGGACAATATTAATGTAGAGATAATTCTCACAGGGCAGTAGATTTAGTTAATTGTTTTGTCACTTCTTCCCCCCTTTGTTCTGTTAATTAGATCATATGGAAGAAAACAGGATCTTTGCTCATGTTTTCTTATTGCTCCCTACCAGGGGAGCCAACAGCCTCACAGGGCCCCTGGACAAAGTGGGGAGAGAAGCTGCCCTTGCGCTCCCAGAAGGGTCAGCGTCTCAGGTGGAAGGGATGGGGTTTGAGGCAGCCAGCCCTCAGGAGTGCACCATGCTGGCCCCCCAGCCCTTACAGCCTTGGTGCTCGGGCAGTAATTTAAAGGACCTGAGACTCTGGGTGTTGGTGCTGATGCTGATGCTGCTGCCACAGTAGTGACAGTGGGAGCTAAGAACTCCGGGTCCTTTAGAATCACTCAGTCCCCCTTCCCCCCCACCCCAGCCTGGTAGGCAGGCCTGCTCCCTATCTACTGCTTTCTTACCGGAAGTCATAACCCTCTGCCTCTGATGCAAAAAGGAACTATTGTGCTACCCCAAGGAGAGATTTAGGACTTTAGATGAAGCCTCTATAGGCCAAATAGTTACACTGGTATAACCCCTTAACTTCACTTGAAGCACTCCTGATTTTCCCTGGAGTAACTCTGAGAGTGGAGTCAGAGTACAGGGTTCTCCCATCATTGGAGGTAATCCGCTCCCCAAGAGGCAGTCAAAGTCGCTGGCAGAATTCCCAGGTCTACATTGGGGTTAGGCTGGCATAGCTACATCTCTGAGGGGTGTGGGTTTTTCAGCCCCCCCGAAGCTATGTCTACACTACAGAGTTTTTCCGGGATACCAGAAGTATTCCAGAAAAACTCTGCTACGGCTAGGGAACGCGTCCGTTTTTTCAGATCAATTTCCGAAAAAGCAGGTGTGCTCTTTTGGAATTCCTGCTTTCCTCATTTTATGAGGAATAAGGGCTCTTCCAAAAGAGGAGGTTTTTTCCACATTTGTCCCCATATAGATGGGCCAAATGTCAAGAAAGCCTGTTCCGGAAAAAAGTACGTAAATTGCAATTCGCAATTTGTGTACCTTTTTCCGAAAAATAACTGGAGAGTAGACATAGCCTGACGGATGTAGCTACACTGATGTTACTTTGCAGTGTAGGCCAGCCCTGAGAGCCAGGTTTATCTCTGTTATTACAGGTGCCAGCGTAAAGCCAGAGGGGAGGCAGTTTGAACTGACCACATTAAGAAACTGCCAGAGGTGGGATTGACCCCCCCCCACACACACACACTTTGTACATTCTAGGACTGCTCCACTTGCTCCTCTCTTGCAGTGGCCCTTATTGGGCTTTGCAACAGTGCTAAATCACCAGGGTGTAAGATCAGCCTGGTTCCACCTTCACCTCAGCCTGGAACACACCCACCTACGATTGCAGGGGAGGAGCTGCTTCTGCACCTAGCAGAGGATCAGAGCTATACTGGGAATTATTCCTGGGGTGAGGCTGGCTTAGATATGTCCTGTGGCCCAGACTAGCAAGCACAATGGTCATGAAAGGCAACACTGAATGGGGCCCTGAAAGTTGTACGAGCATTTGTAAGGAGCGGAGACCCTAGCCTTGATGCTGTTCTCATTCTCTCACACCCATGTAAATCCAGGATCACTCCCCTGGAACAAATCTCTTTTAAAATAGCATGAAGATGAATCAGGACGAGCACTTGCGCAATGCCTTTAAATAGAATGGGCCAGTAATAGCCATGTTATGTAGAAGGCATTCTTATTACTATTTATTTATCTGTATTGGGATAGCACCTAGGAGCACCCCTCGCTGACCACGGCCCCATTGTGCTAGGCGTTGCATAAGTGCAGAACAAAAAACAGCCCCTGCCCCAAAGAGTTTACATAAGCATTCCTTTAAAGCAGCAAACTTGTTTATTTCTTCTTCAACATGCATTTTGGATAAATGCCTGTGAATTTCTATGCAAACCCCTCTGGAAAAGGCTAAATGTGCAGCCTCTTGCACAAATAGTTTAATTAAAAACTGCTACCGTCCTTTAACTGCAAGGAAAGCTGGAAGTAGGTACGGTAAGTGCTTAAAAAGAAAAAAAGTATCCACTGTATGTAACAGAGCTAGTTCTCTCTCGCTCTCTCTCTCAAAAATATTGAGCTGTAAGATAGAATTCGTCCCACCAAACACCCACTGAGCACATTTTTAAAATCTGGTTTCTCAGCCTTCCAGTCAAGTACAAGCAGAATCTAACTACGTTCTCCTTGCTTTCTGGAACTGGGCCCTGTTTCATGAAATTAAAAGGGGAAGGGAAAAAAATCCAAGGCAAAGATGCTCTTCTCAACAAAGAGAACAGTATTTGAGAAAGTGCGACAGCTTCTGCAGCACTCCTGCAACATGATGTCGTTCCTTGAAGGCTCTTAGCTAGAGATTGATTGTCTGAGCAGAGAATTGCACAATTCAAAAATGTTTAAGCCATGCTTTCACGGACTGTTTACTATGAGGCTGAATAAATGGCCATGTATGTATAAATAAATCTGTAAATGATATCTTATGCTATGGTTTCTGAGTGGAACTGGGCAGATTGGACCCTTTATCACTTGGATTTGTCTGGTCTGTAGTAATGATGGTAGCATGCCACACACACAGGTAGGGCTGGATGTTAAAATTCTAAAAGGACAATCTCTGGAAGAAATTATTTAACAGTTTATGAAACAAACTATCTGTTTATATCTAGTACTAGGGCTATACCTGGTGCTTTACAAGGAGAATAGGCACAATATGTGTCCAAAATTCTCATTCTGGAAATTCTTATTCACCCTAGTCCTCCCTAAAGTCAATTGGACTCTTTAGGTAAGGGTTACGCACACAAGTAAAGGTTGGAAGGCTCCAGCCCTCGGCTAGGTATGGTGTGACACAGTCAGATGCCATTAGCTCAGCAAAGCTGAGAGGGAGGTTTGCATAAAACGAAGAGTTAAGGGTGCTGATTTAGGCAGGACTTATATTGTGTTAGCTCCATTTTGTTTTGGCTGGTTCTAAGGATGGCAATGTAACGTTTGCAGTTTTGACTACCTGAATTCACAGTAACACACCACCCATTTCTCCCTTCCACCATCGTCAAAAGGAAATTGCTTCCAGCTGTACAAAGGCTATAGATCAGATGAAAGTCCTTACAACACTCTAATGGCACAACTGACTTCTGTGTACACAGAAGGGCTCCACTGTCCATAATTGCTTCCTAATGATCAAAAAACCACAGTCTGGATTGCCCTCTCTCTGGCTCAAATCAGTGGAAGGGGGCAAAAACTTCAGAACTCCCCTGAGATGGGAATCTCTCCACTGGAGACCGGAGGGTTTTCTCTGACTCTCCCACATGGAAGCGCATTTGCAAGACATCAGTGGGAGATCATTTGGATCCCAACCCCCAAAGGGCCCTCTCCGTGGACAAGGAAGGCAGCTGTAGAAAACACTGACACTATCACCTTCCACCCAGGATAGAGAAATCCCCATGTGGAATTTTATGTGGGTACAAATACTAGCATTGGGGAGCTTATATTTGAGGTGCTCTGCCACTTGCTCCATCTCACTTCAATGCAGGATTATACCTGGTATGGGGTAAATAAGACTCAAAAGCTGCCTGTGGCCTTGCACAGATTCTTATTCTTTTCAAATCTGCGTGGATTGCTCTGAGAATCCACAGCAAGCATCATGATTAATCTATTCTCCACTGACAGCTGATGGTGAAGTAGAGACCCTGGCCTTGAGCTCTCAGTTCCTTTCCTAATCAGTTGCATGCAGGGACAAAGGGAGTGAATATATCATAGGTACAACAGAAAGACGCATGTGTCTAGGGCGTCCTATGAAATCATGGTAACCACGAGAACCGCAGTCAGATGGTTTGAGATGTTTATCCAGAGCCCTTGAGATGCGTGGTGCAGCTTTGAGTCATCACTCACCCAGTTTGTGTTTGATGCATTTAATGGAGAACACAAGGCTGTAAGAACAGAGAATTTGGTTTTCAAATTAAGCTTGCACACAAGTGCTGGCAGCCCTGCATGAATTTTTCCTCCATGAATTTAGGGTTTATGAAAGTTTTGTGTTCACAGATTGCCTGTGGAGCTACACAATAGGCACAGCTGCCAGAGAACATGTAAGCTTTCTACACTGCTGATCTAGATCACTTCGAGGGGCCAGCTCTTGGCCCTTCCAGTCCCTCGCTATCTGCTCAGACTACCAGCAAGAAGGACAGTTTGTGCTCAGGGTGTATGTTTATCCCGTGGGGACTGAACTCTCTGCATGTAAATCATCTGAAAGTCATCAAAGGAGAACTACCTGTGACCATGGTTGACTCAGGAAAGATTTGAACTTGTGATCTAGAGTAGTATTTCTGAAAGTGTTCTGCAAAAACACTTTGAGAAACACACTAACTGGCCACCCCGGTTTGTTTATTTACTGGCGCCGTGGCCATGGAGCCTTGCGGCTCCCATTGGCTCCGTTTCATTCTTTGCAGCCAAGTGGAGCAGCAGGAAGTGATGGCCCAGCCCACGCCGCTTCCTGCGGATCCATGACCATGGCGCCAGTAAATAAACAAACTGGGGCGGCCAGTTAATGTGTTTCTCAAAGTGGTTTTGTAGCACACTTTCAGAAACACTGATCTAGAGGTTCCATATCCCCATACCTATTCCAGCTCATTCAGCCTCCCCACTACCTATTTTTCCTTTTAATATGTAGTGAATTGAGCAGACGGGCATATTGCCATTCTCATGTGATTTCCAGAGAGTAATGCCAGTGTAACAGCTATACACACTCGCTCTGCCATGGCAAGGCCTTTCTGTGTCATATGAACACACCAAGCTCCCCATCAGCTCCTGTCTGTCCACACAACAAAAAATAAAGAAGACCAATAGCAGCAAATTTGAACCTAGGTCAACTGACTCTGGCTTGTGGGGCTTGC